TAAAATTATTTTTTTTCTTCTTCTTGGCAGCACTTCCAGCATCACAAGTGGTATTCTGCATGGATCCTATGGTACACTTAAAATTAATTTTTAATGGGAATTATACTCAATGATTAATCTGGTCCCTTTCTGCTGTAATAGCTATGATGTTTTAAATAGGAAGATAAATATAAGATAAATACAGGATAAAAATATGTATAAATATATAGATAAAAATAAGAGTGTTCTTTGGAAGCCAAGGTAGAAAAATGAGCTGTTGTTGGTGGTATCTATACACTTCAGGGAAGCATCATATGACCATTGTCACAACTAGTACTCTATCTATTGAAAACATTCCACCATGCACTGACTCTTTACAATTGTTTAAGTAACCTTCTTGCTGTATTTTGCATTTCACCAATATCACATAATCCTTCCTGGGAGCTTTGCCAAATATATTATAAGAAAGAATCCTTATAAGTTGTGAAACTGTGGATTGATACAGCGTTTCATTATTTTAGTACTCTGGGAGGTAGACAAATGTTTATTCAATAGGCATGCACTGACAGAAATGAAAGTCTTTTCTTTGCTGAAAAGGAGACACAGGTGAGGACTGTGGGGTGGGGCAGGGTGGAGGGGGACCCAGAAACTTGTTATGCATTATTTTCTTCCTGATATCTTGGTTTCAGCTTTTAGTATTATACTACTTCTTGGATTATTGCAATAGTCTCCAAATTTACCTCCCTGTCTCTTTTGCCATTGAAATACTTCAATGTATACTGTATACTATTTCTAAATACCTTCTGAAAACATACATAGAAATATACCACGCTGCTTAAAAACACATGTAACTTGCCAGTGCTAACAAGACAAAATGTAAATTCTTAGCATGGCATTAAAGATTTTGCACAACCTGGCCATAAACCACTCTTTTATCCTCAACATAGGTTATTTTCTTCCCTAAGGTTCCTATTTTCTAGATCAACATTACCCAATAGCACTTTCTGTGATGACAGAAATGTTCTATATCTACACTTTTCAATATGATAGCTATAAATTACATGTGGCTATTTAGCACTTCAAATGTAAGCAGTGCTAAGATACTGAATATTATATTTTGTTTAATTTTAATTAATTTAACCCAACCTATCTGTATGTGGTTAGTGGCTATTATATTGGACAACACAGCTTGGGACATATACTAGAATCCTTTTTATTCTCACATGTAAGGCTCAATCCAATTGACATAGTTCTATCTTAAATGTTCTTCATAATTTGTTGTCTTAAAAACTGCAATTTATTCCTCAAAATATTACTTCAGTGAAGCCACATTTTCTCTGGAATTTTCTCTGCCAAACTTCTGTTAGTTTACATGCTTTATGAATGAATTATTTACACATGAAATGAAATGAATCCTCTCCACTCCACTGGGACTGAAACTGACACAAGGTTCTTTTCAACACTGTGTGCCTGTTCAGTATTTCACAGGCCATATTACATGATGTCTGAAGATTGCCTGGGTTGCTAGGCATAGGCCACCTAAGTCTGGCCTTCTGATACTTGTTTGTTTCAACAAGAACAGTTCCTTAAAAAATACATTTTATGTTTTCATGAAAATTTTTTTAAATAAGAGTATTGTTATTTAAAAGTAATAAAATATCATATTTATATTTGTTGTAAAAATACATTACTTTTGAAAAAGTGTGAGAAATTATTCACCTGATTGTCAATTACCTTACAGACTCTTGGTTTAATTTTGGTTTTTATCTTGGGCTGTAATTTATATTGTAGCTTACTATATTTGTATTTGTGATATATTTTTCATAACTGGATGTAACTATCCCTGAAAGCAAAGAACACATTCTATCTCTTTTTGCTTCCGTAGTGTCTTGTCCATAGCTGTTGAAATAAATTTCTGTAATTTCACATCTTAATAAAATCAGGAGACTAAAAATAACTAATTTCAATGCTCAAATGGCTATAGCAGGCCCCTGAAGTAGGTACAACATGGTTTTCTGAGATTTCTGATAGCCTATGGGCTGAATATTCAGGTTTCAACATAAACTACTCTTTAGTTGGCAATGGCTGGTCTATTACTATTGCCTTTCTGTTGCGTTTACCTGTTGCATAAAATGTCTTGATTCCTTAGTTAAACATAATTAAGCTAACTTCTTAGATTTTCTTAAAAATAAATGTTGGCACAAATACACCTGCATTATATAATTAATAATTAATAATAAAAATATATATTGGATGTGCATATGGAGCAATCCAAAATGTCATTGACATGTACAAAAAAATAGAAAGAATAAAAATATGGTAATAAGGGAATAGAGAAGGAAGGAGGGAAGGAAGCAAGAAGGGAAGGAAGGAAGGAGGGAGGGAAGGAAGGAAGGAAGGAAGGAAGGAAGGAAGGAAGGAAAGAAAGGAGAGAGGGAGGAAGGGAGGGAAGGGGGAAGGGGGAAGGGGAAGGAAGGAGAAGGAAAGGGAAGAAAATAAAGAAAGAGAAGGAAGGAAAGATAGAAAGCAAACATGAAAGAGAAATGAAAGAAAGAGAACAAGCAGTCAATGAGATGTCAAGAAAAGGATTTTAGTTTTGCTTAGTCACAGACATGTTGACCTTTCAGCGACTCTAGCCGAAGTATTTCATCCTAGCCTGACTATGGCCATAAACGATTTTTTTTTAAAAAGGGAAAATGCTGGATTTTAAACTACTCAGAATTTTGAGCCTAATAAAGAAAGTGGGGCAATTAAACAAAAGAGAAAGAGGAAGGTGGAGGGAGGAGTGAAATCACAAATAGTTAACACAGGCTTAATGCCAAGATGCTACAACATCTTGCAAGAAAAGTAAAACATAAATTCCAGAAAGCCTTTAAGTAGGTGATTTTAGACAACAGCAAACAGAGTTGCCTATTCCTCATAAAAGTACATTCTGATTTCCCTGATTAGCAAGACCATATGGCTGTACACTGAACCATGCCAGGAGTCAAATTTGATTACTGATTCTGGTTTTTCACTCAAAATATCATTTAGGATTGAAAGAGCTCATAAAGCACATAATTGAACAAAGAAAAGAGACTGTCAAACTTCATAAAATATTTTTGGTACTCAAGTAGTTAATTATAATATTTCAATTTAACTCTTGCTATTTGCCATTTAGTATTTCAATACTATCATTTGATTTTTATTCTTTGCCTTTCCATAATTAGTGGTTTGTGACCTCAGGTAATGCTAAATTTTAAAGGCATAACTTACAGATTAAAAAAATAACAATTCTAGAACAATGCTTAGATTATGGAAGCCCGTAATAAATATTTGATAAATGAATGATTGAATCACATCATAAGGTTAAAATCTATACTCAAATAATCAAGCTCCCTTGAGTAAATGTGGCATTGGAACTGTGGCTGAGTGTACATGAGCTGCAGCCAAACTGGTTATCTACGGTTCTAGAGTAGCCATGTTTTGGTTGTGTCCTTCGATAATATAGTGGTACCTAAATTGTTTATTCTTAGAGTGAAATTAGAGAATCCATGTGAGATTTTTATATTGCCTGGCCTCTATCTTAGTTATTTTTATTTTAAACTTCCATTAAAAATTTCCAGAAATAAAACTTTCAAGGTAATAATTAAACATAGGTGAGTAAATGATAAAATGGAAAATTCAGAGAAGATGCATGACTTTGATGAAAGGAAAATAGTAGAAAGCCTTCATTTTTTCTGTATATAAAAATTTAATAATGGATATTACAGTTGACATCATTGCCTTCTGACTTGTACATTTAGGAGCCAAAATATATCCTACAGATAAGTCAAGTTGAGGGAGTCATGGCCTAATTCTACAATGCAAGCTGTCAAATTTGTACTGCTAGCAATGTGCTCTGCTTTCTGAGAATATTGTGGGTATCTGAAAGCAAAATATACCAGGTTTTGACCTTGGAATATATCATGAAAAGTAAAACATAACTTAAAAGTATAGCAGAGTTTTATGAAGAAACCAATGGAAAAAATGAGGAGGGAAAAATGCACTGACTCCTAGAACTTACAAAGTTAGTTAACATGGAAAACTCATTATATATACATTATGGTAGGCTTCCAAGCTTGCCACTCAAGCATAGCTGTCTGATACAATTCTCATTTATCTGCGTATTTTGCAACAAATCTTTGAAAGCATTTACTGAAATTGTTTTTGTTGTTGTTGTTGTTGTTGTTAATTAAAAAAAATAAACATCTACTTTTCTCAGCCTTGTGAGAATAGGATATATAAAGGAAGGGTCAAAACTTGAGCTCTGGCACCAAAAAAGACCCAAGTCTGAGTCTTGGCTCTTTGACTTACTAAGGATGTCCTTGTGCAAATCATTGAATTTCTACTTAGAGGGTTGCTGTAAGCCTACATGAAATCATTGGAGTGTCTGAAACATTCAATAAGGGTTAGATATTACTTTCAGGTTGCTATAATTGATAATATAAAAAAATCATAGTCAATCATTCCATCCATGACTATATTAGACTCAGTAGAATCCATTTTAATGTATTAAACTTGATGCAATATAAGTTAAGGTAAAAATATAATTGAGATATGAGAGTAAAATAGAACAAATATACAAAAACAGAAAGCTTTGTGATCATGACTTTCAAACACAGTTGGATACTAACATTAAAGACGAATCTTCATCACTAAAAGTAAGGTAATTTTGTTAGAAATGCAAATCCTAACACAAATATCGAATCACAGGTAAATCACAAATAATGTTTGAGGTAAAAGAATCTACCACTTGTGGGAAAATTCAGAGCATGGCAAATCACTTTTTACATAGGTGATTCAATGGGAGATATTTAAAAAACAGAAATACACTTTTCTTGGTGAGCAATGTTAGGTACTCCAATTTCATCTTAGCTTTATTTGTCTTTGGTTATGGGTCTCAAGCATCCCTGTTTCTTTAAACAATCACATGAATATTCAAAACAGTATCACTAAGTAAGTTGGGGTTTATAAAATAGAGATTTTTCTTTTTAACATACCGAGGCTTTATTTTTTGGCTTTCGGTCTTTAGTAGCAGTCTTTCCTCTTTTGTTGCTGGTAAAGTAATGTAAGGTTCCATATTCCATCAAGGCTGCAAAAACAAAAATGAAACAAACAGAAACAAAGAGATCCATCGCAGTCACATAAGAAACCTTAGGTAAAGACTTTCTGGCAATTGTACTCAGCGTTGTCATAGTCAGAACTGTAGTGATACCTATGGAGAAAGAAAACAAAATAGAAAATGAAAAATAATAGAACACATTATATTCTTCCATCCGATTTGGCAATATTGTGAGTAAAAATAAACAATGAAAAGAAAAAAAATATGATTACTAGTAATTTACAGAATGAACAGAATGAATTATTGGCAGCCATAACTATATTGTGTCCAAAGTGCTCTTTGTTTCTGTGAGTGCTAATCATTTAAATTACTCAGGGTGCAAGTTGACTCCCAATATTCTTTCCTTCCTCCCTCCACTGTAATGGAACATCAAATATTTAACTGGTCTCTGGTTGCCCAGAACAACTTTATTTGCCATCTCTCTGCACCAAGTGTGGCCACAGGCTGAGGTCTAGCCAAAGAGAACCAAGTCAAGAATGTAAGCAACACACAGTATCCTAAAGACAGCATTAAAGAAACAAGGAATGCCTTTCTTTCCTTCTCATTACCTTCTGTTGGAATACAATGGCCAGACCAACAGCAACTATCTAAAATATTAGATAATCTTGAGAATTAAAATTACAATACAGGAGAAAACTAGAAGGAGACTGAATCTCTCATACTGTAATGTATCGCCTTGAAATACCTAGCCCTAGACTTTCACATAAGCAACAGAAATTCTTCTAATTGAAGTGACAGTGATTTGACATTTCCCACCATACATATAGTCAAAATTAATCCAAACTAACAAAGCTTTTGGTTTTATAACAACTTGAGTTAAACCTACTTTTTTCCCTTAAATTGAAATTTATTATTTGGAGTCACACTGAAGATAATGTCTTAAGTCTTTTATGAAACTAAGTAAAATTTCCCATATAATTTTGTAAACAGCTTTAATTTTCTATGGAAACAATTGTCTCTGAGGTAAAAAGGGAAAACTTTGATTTTGTCTCTTCCAATAACCACAAATGGTAAAATCTATTTTAGCGAAGTCTTATTATAAGCTATATTGTACAGAAAGGTTGCTTGAGTGGGATTCATGCGAATGCCCAGAATAATTTTTCTTCGAGTCAAGGCTGAGACACTTGGGTTAGCAGTTTGTACACACACCCTGCCCTTGGGCTCCAGGATACAGGGATGTGGCTTTCCAAAGGACCTTGGAAACTCTCCACTTCTGCCTCTGCAGAAACTATTTCCATAACCAGAATTGCTGGCATTTCATTGTGCATAGGATGGGAACAAACTTTGGCATAGCTACTTTTTAATCTCAATGTTTAAGCGAGGAATGCTGGCACAGTTTTATCAAGGGAATACTCTTTTGAAAGCACAGAGTAAATCCTTTTGAGAAGTCAGAATGTATAATTGGGAAGTCCTCCAAGGCCCCACCCCTGTATGTGTATCCTTGAAGGGGTTTGTCTCTCATCAGTCTTTGTGTGGTTCTTACCACAATTAATCTAATGTCCCCTAAATTACATATGCACATGCTCTATTTTTTTAAATCTAAACTTACATAATTCTCATTCTTTTCCCCAGCAAATATGGTCCCATTAGTGGAATTCTTTGCTCTCTTAAATGTACTAAAATATAAGCTAAACGCTTATTAATTTGGCCAATATTTATAGAATGACAACGTCTATGATGAAAAGTAAATCAAAAAGAGCTGCAGCAACAGAGTCTCTTTGGTATAGTGAAGGCAATAATAACCACCCCTTCCCCTCATGTCTCCACTGAAACATACCCTGACGATTCTAATCACACACCTATCGCTTCACCTTTACCACTTCTTAGGATTAGAGAAAACATTAAGGTGACACAGCTGTGACGAATTTGGAATTATAGGACAAATTTAAGTTCAATCTCTTAATTAGCTCGGTGTTCTTAACAAAGTTTATCAACTGTTCTGTGTCTCTCATTAAACAAAAAACTAACATTTTGCTTTGTACTTGTAGTAAATATACAAACATACCTAATTTAATTATTTGTCTGTTTTTTAAAATTTTAAAATATACTAGGACATTATCAGTTACATTTTTTATTAATTTTTAATTTACTTCCTTTTTTGTTAGAAAATATACTCTGAAAATTTTTGTGTTTTGAATATTTGTAAGATCTTGTTTAATGTTCCATATACACTTGAAAATATTGTGTATTCTGAAGTTAAGTGTAGTGTTCTATAAACTTCAATCAGGTAAAGTTGTTGATAATTATTCTTCAAAGCGTCTATATCTTAATTAACTTTTTCTTGTAGTTCCAACTACGAATAAGAAAACAGTAATGACTGCAGATTTGTCTATTTCTCCCATTATTCCTAACAGCTTTTACTTCAATTATTTTGAAGCCAAATCTACATTTTAAAGGCTTTGTTATGGTAAAGGCTAAAAAAAAAATAATACATACAAGGCTTTCTTTCCCTCAGCTCTCACACAAGCTTATTAAATCACATTGTTCCCATAGTCAGTCCGAAGTAGGTTTCCAAAGCGTTTCTTGCCTCCACAATTATGTCCCCTATCTGCTTAAAAAATATTAAATCCAATGTATAGTTTGATTTTATTATCCATGACTGCAATAAATTTCAACTTATTAAGTTGCTATTATATTCTTTTTTAATAAGACAAGAAAAACTAAGCAGAACTTTGCTTTCAGTTATTTATTTAACAATTATTATTCCTGTGATTACCTTGAGAAGAACATGGTGGATTTTCTATTAAAACATTTCTGAGTCCATCATAATAAAAAACATTTAGGATGTTAACAGGATATTGAGGAAACATTTTGGATATCATTGCTATTTTCTCCATGGCTTCTCCTACCCAAGATCCTACAATAGTCTCCCATCACATTTGAAATAAAATTTGAAGTCCTTAAAATGGCCCACAAATCTTATATAATCTAACTATTGTCCACTTTTCCAAATTCATTTTCTATGACTATTCATTCATCTCCAACCACATTTGTCATCTTTTTGAACTCCAAGTATGGCATAGCAGAAATATCTGGCTTCAGAACCATATGGTTCTCCCTGCCTGAAATATCTTTCTGCTCAATATCCACCAGGCTAGCACCAGACTTCACTGGGTTACTGCTCAAATGCCACATTCTCAGAGATATCTACTGAGACTCCACAATATAAAATAGCAAACATCACACCACTCACATCCTGTCATTTTCTGAACATTGATTTTGCTATCTCCTCACAGACTTCATGACTCACTAAAATTTTATTGTATGCTTTTTATATTTTTACATTGCCTGTTTTCTCTTCTAAAATGTGAACACCATAAACATGAATGTTTTAAAATTGTATTCACTGTTAACACTGCATCACCAAAAACACTGCTTGTTTTATAGAAAGTATTTGATAAATTTTAGTAACATGCATGCAAGGTTGAGTTCATTGAGTTCAGCAAATTGTCCTTCAATTATATGTGTGTGTATGTATATTTAAAATAGTTGTAGGGTTCATAATTACAAGAGATATTTGTCAAGTAACATCTGGCTGTACTTATCTTTACAACTGATATGCTAATATTGAATAAAAATAAATCTATGCAAAAACGACTTTACAATTGGCTTTTCTCTTCATGAAACTCCAGCATACAGCTTTATACAAACCCAGTGGTATAAATAATCCATTCAAATTGCTCTTTGAGTAACTTCCAAACTGTTATCCATAGTGGTTATACTAATTTACATTCCCAGAAAAATATGAAAATAGAAGCAAAAAAATCAGTTTAAGTTATAATAGCCTACAAAGAACCTAAAATAATTTATACAACTTAGGATGTAAAATAATTTGAAACAATGAAAGGGAACAAAATTAAGACATGAATGGATTTTGTCCACTAACTATGCCGCCACCTCTGTTTCGACACCCAAGAGAACTTCATTTTCAAGTAGAGACCTATGTGCCTCAAGCATTGTGTTTGTCATTTTTATGTGACCTGCATTTTACTATACTTAGATGGAATTATTTATGATCTATCATAGAAATCACATAGAAACTTCTTTGTGGTTAAAAATGGAAACCATGTCACCTTTATATATTTTTAAGATACAATTATCAGCAGTGTGATTCATGTTGTTCACTGATTTGGGGGGTCAATCAATTGATTAGCAAGTTTTCTTTGTGTATCAATACCTTAATGCAGGTTATCATTTTTTTTTAAATAACTGTCTCATAATTAGTCACTTATTTCGTGATATGATTTGATTATTGCAATAGATTGCCACGGAAAAAGAGCAAAAGCCTGTTTTGTCACATATGAATTACAACTACCCTGTTAATCGATGTTATTGTACAGACAACTCTCAAGTATTCACAGAATAGGTACACATTTTATGTACGACAGAAGCTAGAGAGCTTCTTGTTTCTTTCAGCTACTTGCCCATTGGAGTAGCTGACTTCACTGGCTTATATAAAGGTGAGATGGTTTCCATTTTTAACCACAAAGGAGTTTCTATGTGATTTCTATGATAGGTCATAAATAATTCCATCTAAGTATAGTAAAATGCAGGTCACATAAAAATGACAAACACAATGCTTGAGGCACATAGGTCTCTACTTGAAAATGAAGTTCTCTTGGGTGTCGAAACAGAGGTGGTGGCATAGTTAGTGGACAAAATCCATTCATTCCTTAATTTTGTTTCCTTTCATTGTTTCAAATTATAAGAGCAGGTTATTTCAAAGTCATCCGCACACCTCATTAAATAAACGGTGGTTATTAGAGACTCAGCAATAACGTAAAATAAAATCTTGGTGAAAAGTAGTAGAAAATCTCAACTCAAATAAGATTTAGGGATTATGTATGATTTTCATGTATCAATTCCTGTGATGTATCTATGCTTCCCTTGGCCTTCATTAGAAGAAAAAAAAGAAAGAATTTTCTAAAATTTCAAGTTCGTTACAATTCCAGTTTCTACTTATTTTTGTACATATCTCTTTCAATATGGTATTGTCCTATGGTTCCTGTCCATTTTTACCTGATTGCAGTCTACAATAATATTTCTAATAAATATGACTAGAAACTTTTATCACATTAAATTATTTTTTTTAATTTAGGACATTATAGCATAATATTATGGGGCATACCCAATGATGTTCTTGCAGGCACTGCATCTTTATTGATCCAAAACGACACCCAAGAAAGAACAACTGTCAGAATGCATGGAATGTAGGTCTGAATAGTGAAATATCCCATTCTTCTGCTCAGGTCAAAAAAAATTGTCATGATAACATAATCCCCTGGAAAAAAAATATTTTGACTATAAAATATAAATCTCAATCCATATATTTAAAATACAAATGTGATTTAATGCTAGCATAATTCACTATTTGAGTATTGTCTTTACCAGAGATTGTGTGAGAGATTTCAGTTGAGTTCCGTAACCCTACAAAGGCAAACTGATATAATCTCCAGTATTTAGGATCAGCCACTTCTACAGAGGGCTTTTTCCACTTATATTCAATTTCATTTTTAGGGTATCCATCTACAGAAAATACAAAAATACTTAGATTAGCAAGATCCAAATTTGATAACATTGTAATACCAACATTATCCAACGGTAAATTATTGGAGCTTCTTCCTCCTTTTTTATTATAAAATATGCCAAACATAGAACATTTGCATACAATAAATATAAATAAGCATAGTTTAATGAATAATCATACATGAATCAAATAATGATAAACCATGTAACCTACTTAAATTAAGAAATAGAACCTTGCTAACATATAGGAAACCCAATATGTCCACCCCAATATAGTACTCTCTTTACAGTCTAGAGGTAATAACTATCCTGATTTCTGTGATGATCTTTTCTTTTTGATACAGATTTTTCATATGCATCTTTGAAACGTATAGCATAGTTTGGGTTCCTTTGGACTTTATTTGATCATTGCCATACTTAAGGCATTATTTTGCATATTTTTTTCTTCTTTTTCCTCATGCTACCTTGTCTAAGAACATCTTTTTAAAATATATTATGATAGTCATCAACGTTGTTGTATGTTGCTAAATTTCTTCCCTTGTAAAAACATATCAAAATTTATTCATTATACTGTTTTAGACATTTGTGATATTTTCTGTTGGCTATAACCAACATTGCTGCTAGTAACATTGTTATACATGCATCCTCAAACGTGTATATGCAAGGGCTACTCTAGGATATACACCTAGGTATGGAGTAGCTGGGTCATGGGTTACATATAATGTCAACTTTATGAGGTAGTGCCAATATGCCAATCCTTTTTCCACGGAGCACATACTAACGTATTCTCTCTGTCTCTCTCTCTCTCTCTTTTAATTGAGACAGAGTCTCACTCTGTCACCCAGGCTGGAGTTCGTGGCATGATCTCGGCTCACTGCCAACCTCTGCCACCCAGGTTCAAGCAGTTCTCATGCCTCAGCCTCCCAAGTAGCTGTGACTACAGGTGCTCACCACCATGCCTGGCTAATTGTTTTGCATTTTCAGTAGAGACAAGGTTTTGCCATTTTGGTCAGGCTATTCTTGATCTTCTGACATCAGGTGATCCACTCCCCTCGGCCTCACAAAGTGCTGGGATTATAGACGTAAGCCACCATGTCTGGCCACTAACATATTCTCTTATCAGCCAGAGTGTGAAAATTCACATGAATGCATATTCTCATTAATCTTGATATATACAACCTTTTTCATTTTTACTAATCCATGAAGTGTGTTTTGTTTCACATTCTCCTGATTACTAATAAAACCCAGCATTTAAAAAATATGTTTATTAGATTCTTGGACTGCTTCTTTGAGGAACTTCTTGTTCAATTGCCCATTATTTATTTTTACTTTCTCTTATTTTTCCTCCTTTTTTTTAAATTGTACTTTAAGTTCTGGGGTACATGTGCAGATCTTGCAGGATTCTTGTATAGGTACACACATGCCGTGGTCGTTTGCTGCCTAAATCCCCCTGTCACCTACATCAGGCGTTTATCCCAGTGTTATCCCTCCCTAATCTCCCCACCCCCTGCTATTCCTCCCCTAGGCCCCCACCCCCCAACAGGCCCCAGCGTGTGATGTTCCTTTCCCTGTGTCCATGTGCTCTCAATGTTCAACACCGGCCTATGAGTGAAAACATGCAGTGTTTGTTTTTCTGTTCTTGTGTCAATTTGCTGGGAATGATGGTTTCCAGATTCATCCATGTACCCTACAAAGGACATGAACTCATCCTTTTTTGTGGCTACATATTATTCCATGGTGTATGTGTGCCACATTTTCTTTGTCAAGTCTATCCTTGATGGACATTTGTGTTGGTTTCAGGTCTTTGCTATTGTAAAGAGTGCCACAATAAAATACGTGTGCACATGTATTTATAACGGAATGATTTATAATCCTTTGGGTATATACCCAGTAATGAGTTTGTAGGTCAAATGGCACTTCTAGTTCTAGATTCTTGAGGAATCACCACACTGTCTTCCACAATGGTTGAACAAATTTACACTCCCACCAAGAGTGTAAAAGTGTTCCTATTTCTCCACATCCTCTCCAGCATCTTTTGTCATCAGATTTTTTAAATATTGCCATTCTAACTGGCATGAGATGGTATCTCAGTGTGGTTTTGATTTGCATTTCTCTAATGATCAGTGATGATAAGCATTTTTCATATGTTTTCTGGCCTCATAAATGTCTTCTTTTGAAAAGCATCTGTTCATATCCTTCACCACTTTTGAATGGGTTTGTTTGTTTTTTTCTTGTAAATCTGTTTCTGTTCTTTGTAGATTTTGGATGTAAGTCCTTTGTCAGATGGGTAAATTGCAAAAATTTTTTCCCATTCTATTGGTTGCTGGTTCACTCTAATGATTGTTTCTTTTGTTATACAGAAACTCTTAAGTTTAATTAGATACCATTTGTCTACTTTGGCTTTTGTTGTCATTGCTTCTAGTCCTTTGTTAGTTATTTGTGCTGAAAATGTTTTTGTCTACTTTGTAGATGTCTGGAACAGAGGTATATCCTTTTATATTTCAAAAAATATATTTGCTTCTGCCTTGTGTCAGGAATGTCTTTGAGGACTTTTTGAACCAACCAAGTGAAAAAAATTGGGCTAAAAATTTACTTAAGGGTAGACTTATAATTAGATTCTCTCAAGAATAATTATTTCACCCTGGTATACTGATTTCAGAGGCAACTTCCCTTTTAGCTTTTGGGGTGTGTGTGTGTGTGTGTGTGTGTGTAGGTAATTCTTTATGTGATCTCAACTGCCCAGACTTTTATATCCCAACTTTATGTGGAGATTATGTTCTATTACACTTCCATCCTACAATACCATCAAAGCAAAACTTTAATGAAATTATCACGTTTTGTCAATGTCTTCAGGTCATAATAGGCTGTAAATTTACCTTCCTTGTTTATAGTTTTCATATAGATGTTTGTAGCTAAAAAGTTATTTGCATTTGTTATCACATACATGTATTTAGAAGATTTCAATTGTATAAAATTTTTGTTTTCAACAGAAAGATTGGTCTACCACATTACAGAAATAGAATCCACTAATTACCTTGAAATTTCAAAACTAGTATATGCAATATTTCCACAATAATATATATTTTGCACTAGGATCTATATTAGTCATGAAATAGTTATCATCTCTGCTGATCTATTTAATAACCTATTTTGTCTTTCCTCTTCTCCATCTTCTTTCACTTGCTCTTTAGGGGTGTAGCCATCTTGATTTACATAATTTTTTTCTTTCTTTTCTTTATTTTTGAGATGGCATTTGGCTCTTGTTGCCTAGGCTGTAGTGCAATGGCACAGTCTCGGCTCAGGTCAACATCTGCCTCCCAGGTTCAAGTGATTCTCCTGTCTCAGCCTCCCAAGTAGCCTGGATTACAGGTGCATGCCACTATGCCTGGCTAATTTTTTGTATTTTTAGTAGAGACAGGGTTTCATCATACTGGCCAGGCTGGTCTCAAACTCCTGACCTCAGGTGATTAGCCCGCCTTAGCCTCCCAAAGTCCAGAGATTACAAGCGTGAACCACTGCACCTGGCCTCCATAGTTTCTTTCTTTACTTTAAAAAAGTTTTAGAGGCAATAGAATATAGACATAGTATACAGCAGTGTGGGCACAAATAAACATGGTTGGCAAATAGCCACTCTGAATCTTATGATATCGACTTTTAAAATTGGGACTGTAATTAAATCTTCCACACATATTTGTTGTGAAATAGTAGATGTAGATGGCTTAATTCTCTACTGGACCCATGTAGATTGTCTAAAAAAATTAGCTATCATTATTATATGTGTGTTATTGACATCCAATTATATTCACAAAGATGTATGATTAATTACCATTGACAACAATCAAAACACAAAAATATCACATGAAAATTTAAGAATGACTACTAGAATGAAGTACAGCAACTGCTATCAACTATTTGCATACGAACTTTTCCTTGAGTAATCCTATCAATCAAGTATTTGTTGCTCTTTGGCTGTTTTATTCATTTCGAAGTTGCTGTTTAAAAATCAAAGCAGTACATAGCTCATTAATATAAAAGAAGGCTTTAATGAGACAAATCATTAAGAAATTTCAACATCATTAATAAAAGGCAAAAAATATATGGAAAATTAGTAAGTCAAAAAGTAGGGTTATACTTACGAATTAATTGTCATATTACACTCTACCACTAATAGATTCTAGAATGAGATATGTGAAAACCACAAATTTTAAAAGAAGGAAAACAGCATCTGACAATTTGTCTGTATAGGCAACCACATTTTTATAAGTCATTTTATGTTTTTAAGACAATTGTATGTATCTAGAAAAACACTTTTATAAAAATATGTGTGAGGATAAGTATGTTAGTAAATATGAAATAAAATTAATATGGCTTTGGAAAGGTTATAATTATTTTCTTGAAAGAAAATATGAGGTTTGTATACTAAAAGTATTCATCTCTAACCACATTCATATGAATCAATCATTTTTTAATTAAAATCAACTTATTTTTACCTTGATTTTTGATTTACTAGTCTCAAATATTTGCTATTCATGCAGTAAATACTGTTTGCCAAGCCAATATTTGAAACTGATTTCAAAATCTAATGTAATAAAGTTAAATCTTGCCTCCAGGAAAATGAATATAATTTGAATCAACTTTTTTATGTGTGGCTGCGTAAAAACATTTGAATAAAAATACTTCAATACTCCTTTATTTAATAAAAGTAAGCAAATAGCTTTGGAATAGAACTAGAAGCTATAAAGAATGTTTTAGTAAAATATATGCATTCATTACACATTAATTGAAGCCTTTTAGTTTAAAAGCAAGAAGGAAATATATTATTTGTAATTATTTTATCTAAAAGAATTGAATATAATTTTCACTTTTGAAAATTATAATTTGTTTTATTTCATTTCATTTTTAAATAAACAGTTTCTAAGGATAAAATTCTATGAAATTATCAAGTGTTTTGTCACTTACAGCTTGAAAATTCCAGTGGACAGGAATGTTCATCCATAGGAAAGTTATGAAGCTGAAGATAACATTCTGCATTAATTGTCAGTCTATTTAGATGGAAAAATAAACATAAATAAAAAGAAATCATTTGAAGCATTAAAAATATCTTGCCTAATTTTAAAACAAAATTCTGTCATATAATAGATTGTGACATATTAGAATATAACAATGATTCTAAAGTCTCAAAGTATTACATAGTAATAATATTATAACATTTATATATAAATATGAGAATTCTAACAATTTCCTCTTCAGTCAACTATGTTACCTGTGTATACACTTCAATATAATCTCTGTGTTTACATTTAGTATTTCATACTTCAATATCTTCACAAATACCCATGCACAAACACATGTGCAAAAACAACAGATTAGCCAATTATAAATTGTTAAGTATGGTAATTTTTTCTCTTAATTTATTACATCTTTCCATGAAGGATGGTTCTTTATAAGCAGATATGTTCACGGAAATGAGTTAAATAAACTTGAACCTTATACACCAACCTTCATTTAATCCTTTCTTAGGAATGTTTTACTACACCATTGAAAATTAGATATTATAACATTTTATAGCAGGGTGGGTTTCTAGAGAAAATCTTACTCAATTATTTGCATTGCAGATTAAGAAAATCATAATATGTATGCTGCAACTTCTTCTGCTTCCAAGGAAGAAAATAAGAGAATTTTTTCTCTTTGTTTTTAGTCCTTTCTACGTAATAATATCTTTGAGCTTTAAAAAGTATTGCCAGAATATTTCACTATTTTATATTTTAGCATGTGAAAGGAGGTCCATATTTCTGGCTTTGCAACTTTGAGAAAGGAAAAATTAGGAGTTGATTAAATATTAGTATGGAAAATAAATGAGAGCAACTGCAGATTTTAAAACCAATATTACCTCAGAGTATATAGAACTCGTCCATCATTCCAAATTCGAAGCAGACGATTAGGAGTTGTTATCCAGTGAGCATCAGATTTTCTTGAGTTTCGGAAGAATGTGTCAGGAATCCAAATTTTTCCAACCATATTACTGTTAAGCATAAGCACTTTCATGGTACTATTGAATTTTAAACGACTGTCAAACCAGGTTTGGGCAAAAATTATATCTATTGTGTATTCCTAAAAGATAAGAAGAAGAGTAACAACATATTAGAAAAGCCACTATTTTAGTTGTTTCTCTCAGCTGTTTGAATTTTTACATTGTAAAGTTTCTCAAAGTAAGTAACAGTTAAACTCAGTCTTTTTGAAGAAAAAAATGCAATTATTTTAAACTATCTTTTCCTTTGCACGAGTCATGTAAAATAAAATCCAAGATTTCTAGTAGTTATTGTTGCCCAGTGTGGCTTTATTCTTTTTTATTTTATTTGTGTAAATTTTACTTAAAATTTTATAGTATGTAGGATATACTCATGAAACTTAAAAGCAAATTATCTTAATTTTAACATTATATTAATTTATACATAGAGTTTGTCACAAAAATCATAAACAAAAAAATCTAGATGCAAAAATTAGCCAATGTTGCATAAGAGCCCTTATATTGTTCTTTGTCTAAAAAGTTAATTCCAGTTATTTGTGTCTACTTTTAAAAAAATGTTTGAAATTGAGCACTTATAAAATGCCAAGCATATGTTAAAAGCTTTGCATGTGTCATGTCACTAAATCCTTATTGCAACACTGTGAAATATGTACTACTATAATAATTACTTTGCAGTAACATGTATTACTAGAAATATAAAATAATTCTTCTCACACCAGCTGGTCCGAAGGTAGTGAGTTATCTCAACTGATTGTTCACAGTCAGTTACAGATCGAACTCCTTGTTCTACTGTTTCCCCCTTTCTCACTACTGCACTTGACTAGTCTTTAAAAAGTAATAATAATAATAATAATAATAATAATAAAATTCTTCTCACACCAGAGAACTAAAAAGCAGTTGATACGGAAACTGGGTGACTGCAGGCTAAACTCGAAGTCCCCACCCATAACAAATGATTTTAATGACGGTTGTCAAGAAGTCTGATGGGTTCCAAAGTTGGAGCAAAGCCTTTGTCCATAATCAATAAGTAACTGTAATTAGGAAATTTCATGATTAGCAAAGAACATTCAGGAATAGATAACTAGATATTATCTACCTTTGATATCCTGACAAAATAACTGCAAAATTATAAGCATTTAAAATAAATAAAGTGAATAAGAATGCAACGGTTAATGCTATGAAGGAAAGGAAGTAAATATATATATAAAATACATATATATGTGTGTGTGCACATATGTGTGCATATATATGTGTGTGTATGTATGTTTGCATGTGTGTGTATATAACTTTGATATCTAAAAGAAGAAATAAATTGAAAAATATGAGGTATTATATAAGTTACTTCTGGTGGGAAGGACTGATTACTTGTACTGGATGTCATATTAGCAATCGGCCAATTTTCCTGAAGGAAAATATTTAACATAAGAAGTGGAAGTATAATTGGGAATTTGTCCAATAAAAGAAAAATGGAAAAAAAAATTATGAGAGATTAATTAGAAAACAAACCAGAAGTCAACTTATTTATAGGAAGCTAGGTCGAATCCCTAGGTTCTGGGTAGACTACTTAAAATTACAATTTGCTTAACTGGAATATAAAAATAAATTGAGAGGGTACCTCATTTTACCTATTTTGGTTGAACAATCTTACAGTTCTGGAAAAGCATATACATAATAATTATTTAAAATTAAATAAAGCCAAAAACTATGTAATTGAGTATGAGGTGTGTTTTATAAGGGCTTAAATATATGCATGCATAATTATGAATAATTTCTTCATTTAATGAAGTAATGTGTAATCATTCAATAATCTACCTACATATTTAACATCTATTTAAAACATGAAGTTTTTGTGCACAAAAATGCTTACATCATGACTCCATCTTTACATAGTTTTGATTGCCATGCTAAAGTACCTTAGAGAAGGAAATAATTAAAATTTTGGTTTTTTTGCAACTTAATATGGGATGACATAAATCAAACTGTGCTGTGGAATACAGATTGAAAGTACTTTTGCAACCAGGTAAGCCTTATAAATCTGATAGCCACAACCTTGCTGATATACTGTTTTTATAGTGCAAGCTGAGTCGTAAGGCAAACCACATCCCATAATTCATAATGATTCATATTTATGCTGTAGATGTTTAATTATCTTATTGATTAATGTTAATGGAGCAATACATAAATTGTGCATGCATTTAGGAGACCCAAGATAACCTTATATACAATAACACTGGTGTATTTACTTGAACCTTGTGAAAAATTCTTGGACAGCTTCACTGAAGTTGTCATTAATCCCCACTCCACATGCCTGGATCTAAGACCAGATGTCTTGTCTTTGGAATCAGTTATAATTTATGGAAGCAGCCTCTTCACCTGACACAAATGACCAACCATTCAGTCTAACAGTGCAACCTACACTAATGGCTATTCAATTAAATTAAATTAAATTAAAATTACACTAATTTTAATAGCAAATACAAACAGACAGAAGAATCATACACCTTCTATGGTAAACTAAATGACCTGGAAAGAGCATTTATTCAACATTATTTCCCAGAATTATGTTGTATTTTTGCATGAGATCAAACATCAGAAAATACTTGATACCACTCATGATTGTGGCTAGGCAAATATTCAACATTGGTTGGTAGGGGGAATGTAATGCTACTTGGCAGTTATACTTAGCTGTAGTGTTCCTAACTAACAGGACGTTAAAGGTGGCACTTGAGAACTAATTTGCCTAGGGCTGGGATTTCCAAAGCAGCTGTCAATACCACTGAGCAGCTGGCAGGGCCTTCTCTAGAATCCTTGATTCTGGAAGTGCTAATCACCATTAGAAGACTTATGACTTCCAACGGATCAGAAACAGAAAAAGTTTTCTACTCACAGCTGTTCCTTCAATCGAATATCAAGAAGAGAAAGACATTATGTCTTGATAATCTGACATTCATAAGCCCTTTGCAGAAGCTAATACTTCTAAGCCCTTATAAATTGCCAATTTTTAATAAATGCCTCACTGATATAAGATCATTAAAGTCCATGTCATATTACATGTAATCAAAAAAAAATCCAGTTTTGTTTGCTCATTTGTATTACTGTAATTTCCAGAAAATGACCAAACTGCTCTTGTTCTTCATGTCCCTATTCACAGGTTTTAATAAGAAGTAAGCAAAAGAAAAACATAAAATGAAACTGCTATTTACTCAGAACAACAAATACAAAAGCTTCTAGGATAAACATTTTGAGATAAGAAACAGTGCACTTAAAATTTGACATCCAATGTGTTTTACAGAATGTACTGTATCTCCTTGCAAGTTAGCTGACAAAACAGCATTAATGAGTAAGTGTGAAGTGAGCCATTTTGATTCCTAACTTAATAAAATCAAACCATAATTGATAACTGTATAGTGCAGTCTCATTACTACATTGTCATTTTGCAATTATGCACTGTATCTCACATTTCAAAGTACTAGTTAATTCAGTATTACTGTCTTTCTAGTAATGGGAGAAACTTCACACAAAATTCAAGACCTGCCAAAGCAATTAACCTATGTGCATAATTTAATCATTAAATTTGATTAATCCTGATTTGTTCTTCCTATGCTGTCATTAATGTCTTCCAAAAGTGTCTAGTCACATGGCAAGAACAGAATGGTGGACTTAATAATTTTTAGCAGTAATTCAAATAATAGAGTTATAGACATGTGAAGAAAAAGTACAGTATAGTTAATCCACAGGACAAATAAACACCTTCAGTGGTAAAAGTATATAGGTATCAGCTCCAGTTTGCTTAATTATTGTACAAGCACCAACTTCTGAATTCTAGCAGGATAAAGTAAATAAAAAATTTGGTGTTCTTCTATCTTTGAAATAGAAAAATAAGGAGAAAAGAGGTTATGCCAGTTGCTTAAAGCATTGAAGTCATCAACAATACATGAGAGAGATTCAAAAACTAGACACATATTCTGGATTCAGCTACTAACCCTTTGTGCTCTCTTCTTGTGTCTATGAATGTAGATTGTCAAAGGGACATAACATCATATGCATTTATCAATTAATTTTTTACAAATATTTTTTCTGCATTTTTATTACTTTTATAAAGTACTGGGTTTATAAAGATGAAAATGGAGACTTCTTAGTTTGAACATATACATAATATAACTGGAAATTAATAAAATGTAGAAGGGATATAAAGAGAAATAGAAATAGTAGAGATTATTTTTAGTTAGGGGAAACTAAGAAAGACTTCCTGACAGAAATTGCATTTAACCTGAAATTTGTAGGACTAGGAAATATTTTGATTCCTGCATCAATTAGTAAATGGTGGGGGCCAGAGAAGACAAAGAGGGAGTAAAGTGCAGGGCAGAATGGAAAATAAACAATGCAGGCCATATATAATGAAAAAGTAGCATATTTTCTGTATGTCATGGAATGTACATTCCTCAAATACACAGGTTATCCTACATCTGGAAGAGCTTTTTAGCAACTATTATCTAAAATTATCTATTTCCAATAACGGACCCTGGTCCCTAGAAACAATTCTGAACACTGCAGTGAGAATAATGAACTGAAAATCCTAGTACTTCATGTGTTAATTTTCTACATCATACTCAGTCATACATTTCTGACTGGAAATATATAACTATATTTTCAGAATATATATTGTATAATATTCTGTATACAAGTCCAAAGAGTAAAATATTGAACATTATATTCACAGAACAGCTAAACTCTACTGAAGATGCAGTAATATAACATGTAGGGTTTTATAAACCTGATGAATGAACTCCCAGTCCTTAAGAAGTTACAATAAAGTAGAGCAGACAAGGTCAGTTTCCAGAGTTTGGAATACATATATATATATTATATATTATATATATATATATATTATATATTTTATATATATATATTATATATTATATATATATTATATATTATATATATAATATATATATTATATATAATATATATTATATATTATATATATATATATTATATATTATATATATTTATATTATATATATTAATATGCCATATTAATATATAATATACAACTATGTAATTACATAATATATATTAATAC